AACCAAAGCGAAACTAGCGGTTGGCGATTCTCCGATCAACCCGTATTTTTTGCTTTTCGCCCAACCGCCATTTCATTAGGGTCGCAGACTGTGAACAATGCCCTGGGGATTCCATATGCTCCTTCTCACCTGGTGCCCCAGTAACCCCTACTCTCCGTCTGCGCCTCAGATTTTTGTGACAGGACCATGAAAGAAAGTTGGGACAACTATGTAACCTAACTTCTTACCAAGTTGTCTGCAAGCTCCCAGTGATACTTTCACTCCCCCCTTGATTTTTAAAAATATTTTTAGATGTGAAGATGACTTCCGCCGTCTCTGCTTGGAAGACCCTGAACGCGTACCTGGACAGATGAAGAAGGAGAGGGATGATCAGGTCAGAATCAAATTGTTTTTGATTTCGAAATAACGTTTACCAGAGCTTCTTAATACCTACAGTCGGTTACAAAGGTCTAGAAGGTTGCTTGATATCTACATTGTCGGTTACAAAGGTAGAGAAGGGTGCCTTGCCTAGCCTGTGCTGTTCACACCATGTGGGTACTTCTTATGAAGGATTCCCGCGCCACTCTCCTGCAAAATGAGCTTGCTCAACCCGTGTTCAAGTACAATATCAACTTATTTTCTTGTGACACGTCAGCTTTCTGCTTTTCTCGGCGCTTCCACATTCGTTCGCCACTGTTACCACTGACATTCCTATTCCTGACGCTTGATAAGTAACTCATCCACCTCGAGTCTCTTCTCTCTGTGAAAGCTCACCTCCTCACGACATGTCTTTTGCACCGTTCGATGCTTTGGCTGCCGTAGTCTTGTACCTGTCTACGCTCTGGCCTTTTGCCCACTAAAAGGATCCCACTAAAAGTTCTAATTGAACGCAACCAAACAATGGACCCTATGCTAACACCTATATTGGTTGATACCGGAATTACTAAAGGCTCCAGCTTTCTTGTTAGCAACTTGTAATTGCATCCATAAAGGAGGCATAATCCATGGGAAGCGTTCGTTCGTTCTGTTTGGCAGCGTGATCGTGGGGTTTTTCGGGTTGAATCGAAAACATCCACAGAATCTCTAACTTTCTAACTAATAGAGGAAACTGCAGTTTTGCAGTTGAGGGAAGGGGAGTGTATGTAACAGCGCACACTCTTTCTCCTCTAAGGCTGCACGTGGCGACAGGTCGTCTGAGCTATTCCGTGCTTTGTCGAAAGAAGTGGCCCATTTAGAAGCAGAGGAAAACGAATGATTTGAAAAAGAAAAAAACTTTAAAACACACATGCTCCGTTTCGCCGCTCTTCCCAGACGAGCCATCGTAATTTCGTCATCCGCAAAGGCGTGGTACCAGCCCGTTTTACCAATATTGTCGCTTGTATCCTTCAGCAGTTGGTGGAAAAGGGTGGTGCAGCGCGACACTCAGCTCCCTGACATCCCCAGCGAAGCAGACTGTAAGCCTGTCGATATAGACGATGGAGTTGTTAAGAGGTCCGCTGAGCTGTGTTCATAGCGCGAAATCTGGATATGGAGAATCATTGAAAAGATGAGATGTGTCGTCTTATCATTCATTCTCCAGCTGAGCTGGGCCATTCGCTACTTGTATGATCATTTTCACTGATGCCCCTTTTCCCCAGTTCGATGCGTACGCTTTCCTATCGCGGATTTTCCGATTATCCACTCCAGCGTTGCAAATATGGAGGAAGGTTGGGTATTACTTGGATGAAAGTTGCCTTAGTTATACCGTTGCTTTCGGCTGGGTGATGCATAAGGGTTTTGATTAAATGATTTGAAAAAAAATATGAAATATGTTATATACAAGTTGTTTTAGGTTGTTAATACCGCCGGTGGCTACGTTTTCGCAGTGAGTGACGAGTCGAGAGTGCGTAGATTCATCATTCTTGGAACTGATGGAGGAACTTATTACAGTACGGAACAAGAGCTTACCGTTAACAATGTTGAGGCTCTTATCAAGATAATAGAGAAAGGTACGCGGGATAGCTTCTCAGGTTTCGTTTTCCCATTCATTTCTTTTTCGGAGGAAATGTTAATGTACCGGGAGAGTATCGATGTAAAAATCCTTGTGGAATCGGGTGATTTTGAAGCTGTAGTTGTCCCCGCAACTTCTGGCAAGGATGGATGTGCAGAAGAGCGCAAATACCCGATCAACAGCTGTGCGTGCTGAAGTTTTTCTCCTGAAGAGTGCATGGCGAGCTCACGTCCCTTGAATGCATTGATAAAGCGGGCATAGTTTTCTGATGGTGATCGCAGTTGAGGAGTGAAGAACCAGCCACACACCCAGAGTGTGTTCATACTTAATTATTTGCAGTTCTCATCGAAAGTATGAACCGCACTTTTAGGATGGTCCGACTGCGAAATGTTTAAAGGCGTAGGTGACAATCGAGTGAGCGATTAGAGCGAGACACTGCGTCCACTTTGGTGCACTGCGTCCACTTTGGTGCACTTCGTCCACTTTGGTGCATCTCCCTTCTGAATCAGAAAACAGAATAGCTGCAGTGATGGGGCGGTTCTCTGTATCCGCCCACACGTTCAGTACACGCCTTTTCGAAGTTTTTCTACATTGGGTCAAAATTGGAAAAAGATCTCACCGTTCAGGTCTCATTTGGTACGTAACTATGAGCGTCTCTGTAGCTGCGTGCATACCTTGCGTGATCGTTTTGAGCGTACGGCAGCATTTAGCGTCAAGAAAAAGATGTAGATCCAAGGTTTGGGGGGAAGGGGTTGCGAGCAGTTTTGAACATTTCGCTGGCAGTGAACGCTGAACTGACGTACAAAACGCTGAGTTGATACCTATACTTTCCTAGTCGTTCCAAGCGCTGCCGTGCGCTGGTATGCGCCAGATCTATATCTATGTACTAGTCGTCCAAAAGGCCGACGCAGAGTATGAACGCACTCTAAACACATCAAAGGGAACGGTAACGTGGAGTTTCACCTTGTACAAGTAGTTTTAGTCCGTCTGAAGTTCAGGTTTAGTCTGAAGACGAAAGTGATGCGGTTATCATGCGGCTACATTTTTAGCTTTTATCAGTTCCATTTTTCAAAGAAGATAAAGATTTCGATTAAGGTCGTGGAAGTATCATTCTGAAGGAGGTCTACGAAGTGTCACTTGCCGGACGAAATCCAAAACAAGATCCTCTCTTGTTGGCACTCGCTTTATGTGCAAGGCAAGTGTTATACTTGTTTGGGCGCTCTTCGGCTACGGCGAGAGGGATGACCCGGGGCATGTGCCGGGGCACTTTGTGGAGATGTGCTGCGTAATGGTACGAACGTTAATTACTTGCAGGTATAACGTTTCCGACTTGGCTGCAAAAGGGTCCGAATCTGGTGGAGGAGACGCTGATAAACTGAGGAGGAAATATTTGAATGAACTCCATAAGTCTGCCTTCAGCATTGTGAATGATGTGAGTACTTAACACCCTTCAATGTCACGCCAGACTTCGCGAGGACGCGCGGCGACGCGCTTCAATTGCAGCAGCGGTCGAATCCTGAGACACAGACGGAAATCGGTCGAGGCAGGCTGTGTGTTTTGAAAGAGTATAGGATGACAAGAGGGCGGGCAATAAAATCACATAATCCGGTGCTCACGCATTCTTTTATGGTCTCCCACAGTCAGAAACGATCGCATACTAGACAGCGTGATTAGGCGACGTGTACACCTTGATCTCCCAAACTCTGTCAGTACACAAGTGGCCGGAGCCGATAGATCCCAATCTGCGGCTGTGTTCGCGTCTATAACATTGGAGCGTGTTGCAGTTTTTAGCGCGCCGATGCGACGCGCGTTATAGCGCGTCTTCGCGAAGTCTGCAGGCTGCTTAATACTCTCACTCGACTCGTACTGGTAGGTTGTTGAGAAAGACATGGCATGTGGTCATCAAATGAACAGTGATAT